TGTGAAGCAGGAGGCCAAGATTGTTTACCTTCTTGAATGCTTGCAAAAAACACCGCCTCCTGTGTTGGTTTTCTGTGAGAATAAGGCTGATGTGGATGATATCCATGAGTATTTGCTCTTAAAAGGAGTTGAAGCTGTGGCTGTTCATGGAGGCAAGGATCAAGAAGAGNAGCAAAGCAGAGGATCCCTCCAGTCCTCGCAGAGCTCAATGATCCCATGGAAGACGTAGAAGAAATCACAAATGCAAGTGGAGTAAAGGGTTGTGCATATTGTGGTGGGCTTGGTCATCGTATCCGTGACTGTCCCAAGCTAGACCACCAAAGAAGCCAGCAAATTGCAAATTCAAGGAGGGACTACTTTGGGTCTGGAGGTTATCGTGGAGAAATTTGATTCACATTTTCATTTGTTTACTGTAACATGCAAAATGTATTCACTTATCTCTGTACTTTATGAACAATTTCAGTAATTTTGCCATAAATGTAGTTCTACTTCGTACTCACAGTCATTCGATGTAGTTATTATAATGTTCTTGAATGTAAGACATGGCATAATATTTGCAGTATACATGTTAACTTTGTGCCTCAACTGTATCCACTAAACACTAAGCAGGTGGACACTGGACACAGTTCTTAAATGACCAAAAATTTGTGTGTTTGGATTTTCAGTATCTGGTTGTGGATTCATCAAGGGAAATAAACATTCCTATTTGTCTGGATCTTTATTCACACTGTATTTTAGATATCAAAAGTGTCCTACACATTTTTGCATTTCCTTCGATTTCTAAATCTGGATTCAGTCTCCCAGAAAAGATGCTCAAACCCTATTGGAAACAAAGTAGCAGTCTAAAATATCAAATTCCCAGTTATCATGCCATAACTATAGTTTTTTCTCTCATGGAAGCATATTCACTGAGTGTGCAACATGAGCAAACTACATTGCAGATTCTTCAAGCAAAACTAGGAGCAGAGGATCTCCGTACTCAGGTGTGTGCAAATTTAGCTACTGATTCCCTCTTTACTAATAGTTACTACTATGGCTCTACAGAGTATTTCACTTCTCAGTTGTTTCGGGAATGCTTCAACATGAGTTAGATGTTTGGGTTGGCCCATTGAATTTTTCCCCAGAGCTTGTTGATATCAAGATAAACTATGTATTTTTCTCTCAGAAAAAACTGGAACTTCTTTGGAATAGAAAGAATCCATCTACAAATTCTGAGCGGCTAAAAAATAATGATGCTCCAGATAGCACTCTCTCTCTCTCTCTCTCTGCATTGTGGTGCTTTCTTTGTAAACGTATTCAGCAAATAACATACTTGCCTTATCTTTTTGTTACATTGGCCATTTCCCAGTAAGAATGAGGTCTTTTCTTAGTAGAAGATAATAAGCGACTTGACTCTTATTAAATCACCAGTCTGTTGCTGCATTTTAAAGTTGGAGAGTTACATGTGCATTATATATATGTAGGATGCTGCTGCATGGCTTGAATACTTTGAATCAAAAGCCCTAGAGGCTAGAGCAGCAGGAAGCTGCAAGAACTGGAGCTCCAAGATTAGATGCAACCATTGCTAGCAAAGGTCATCTCAGGTATTGAAACTTTACCTTTGAATTGGTGTTACTCGGGCTTGAACTATATGCTTGCGTCTAAGGAACCAAAACTTACTTTCTGATGTAGCGTGTCAGATCTATTGGATTACATTAGTCCTGGCCAGGGTTCAAAGACCATTGAAGCACAGAGGAAGCGGCGTTCGAAGGTAGGTCATCACTCAGTATAGTAGTATATGCTCTTCTTACTTTTTAATTCACTGAAACTTCTTACATTGAGAGTAATTCAGATAGAGCTGCAAACTTTTTCTGTACATTTAACTTAGAAGTTGGTCTTAATCCCAAAATCTCAACTGTAAGTTATTTAGGCATCAAAAAGTGAAATGATATTGGAGCTCGACTTAATGGGGAAAATCTAGTCCTGATACTTCAGCACATGATACTTAACCTCATAATTTAGGTGACTCTACGGACACAGATCCTGGGAAAACCTCCTTTTTGGGGAGGGAAGGGATAATTTTGGCTGTGCTCATTTTGAGTTACCGATTATCATTTCTTTCTCAAGCTGCCAAGTAACGCTGTTACTCTTTCCTTCTTTATGGCCTCTTAGGTGTTACCAGTAGATGATCAATCTCAAAAAGGACAGCATGATGGAAGAAGTAACAACCCCTTGGATCATGATGTTACAGAAAATCCTGTGACTCTAGTAGAAGTTAACAAGAAAGAAGACGACTCAGAGAGGGTTGCTACTAAAGAACTTGAAGGCGGTAATAGCACTAAAAATGAGGAATCAGTGGAAATAAATGAAGAAACTAGCTCTGATGAAGGGTGGCAGGAAGCGAATTCGAAAACACGGACGGGGCATGGTAGTGGCAAGATGTTCAACCGAAGGCAACCAGGTCTTGCCAAGATCAATACAAACTTAGAATACTTTTCCCCCCGGGACAGCAGTTCCAGGAAAGTAGTTACTTCACAGGGACAAAAAGTGGTATCTAAGATTGGTTGTGAATTTTCTCCTGTAAAGCAACTAAAAGCTGCTAGCTTCAGTTCTTCTGAAAAGTCAACCAAACTCTCAGCTAAAATGACTGTTGCCGAAGTTTCTCGCACATCAAATATCACTGTTCCCTCTCCTCCTGCCTCTCTTGCTACCATGGCAAAAGCTGCTAGCTTCAGTTCTTCTGAAAAGTCAACCAAACTCTCAGCTAAAATGACTCTTGCCGAAGTTTCTCGCACATCAAATATCACTGTTCCCTCTCCTCCTGCCTCTCTTGCTACCA